TTTTAGTTAACAGAAAGCTGATTAATCAGTCAGTATTGGAATGTGATCACTGAAAAGCCAATTCAGTCTTAGGTTACATTTATAGGAATATAGTATCTAGCATGAGGAAGGTGATAGTTTCATCTCTTCCACCTTGGTCAGTTAAGACATAAATTATGTTCACTACTGGGTATATCACCTTAAAGGGAATAAAGTAGTCCCTTGTTAAAGCAGGATTGTGATGTTTGGATTCTAAAAGTTTAGAATAAAAGTTTAAACAAAAGGAATGGGCAAACTTTTATTCTAGAAAGTGTGGGAAAAAGCAATCTATTTATAAAGACATTTGTTTTTGTGAAAACGTAAAGTACTTTCTTAAGCATTTTGCTGAGATCATAAGAAAGAAGCAAGGAAGAATGTAAGTATAAAATACACTAAATTTTATGCCACTAAGGGTAGTCTGGAGTACAGCTCTGTGATTGAACAGCATGCTGCTGTTACTTTAAGAGCTGATTGTTGGCATTGGTAAATGTGATTTATTCTGTAAGCAAATGTATTTGATAAACTTTTTCCTCCCAGTAAGTAATAAATACACACATAAATATCCATTTTTGTTTTCATTAATGACCTTTATGTTTTGCAAAAATGGTTCTTATAACCATACTATTTTCAAGGAGACTAGCTTCCTGGTTAGAAGAACTGAAGTGAGAGTAAAAGGTATGTATTGAGATAATGAAGGAATTTAAAGCCATTTGAGAGTAAGTTTACCCCAAAATGTGATATTTTAGAAGGATACTGGAAAAACTTGAGGGAAGAGACTGGAATAAGATTAACTCTTGGGACTTTGTAAAGATTATAAATGAGTGTAGGGCCTCATGCTGCACAGGCCAGGCCAAATCCTTTTCCCAGCCCCTATTTCATTATCTTTGGGCTTTGTGCATGCACACGCGTGCACACATGCATACACATACACACACACACACACACACACACACACACACAGTGAAAAATCATTGTTTTGTTTTTGTTTGTTTCTCTTTCAACCTCACCCAGGTCCTTATAACTTTCAGGGATGGAAGGGTTTTACTATGGACCTCTGGTGGTGACAGGTACTGGAGGGGCGACTACTGGGGACATAATACCCTCCACTCTTATTCTCTTACCTCAGCTTTCTTTGGGTTTTGGCTAACTCTCAGACTTCTGGTGAGGGAAGTGGCTTCCCTGTATCAGCTTCTGTTAGATAAAATGTGGAGAAGGACCCAGAGTGGCCTGGTTTGAGTTATGAGGCCATCCCTTTGCTTAGTTACTTTGGCCACAGAGAGCCTGACCTAGCTCATCACTCCCCCAACCCCCCATTTGACACTATGCTTGTGGATGAGTGAGGATAGCAGGAAAGATGGGGTTAAGCATGGTGGAAGAACTACAAAGACTGTTGTTAGCTTGACATAGGAAAGTGGTTTTGACAGTGCTGCCTAAAACCCATGTGGGAGTCTCTTGAAAGGCTGGGTTCTGATCACTGAGCATGTTTGTGGAGAGAGGACAGAAGTGTTCCACTTGCAGCCTGTGAGTTAGTGAACCTATGAAGGTCTATACTATGACTTCCTTCATGTTAATAACAGTAATTGCCCTGTGTAGTATTTTAAATTTCCAATAAAATAATATTAATAATAGAAAATAAATATAATGCTACACAAAAATGTTGATACCAATGTAAGTCAATTTATTCTACTGCCCCTATAGGAGTTATTTGTAATAATCTGAGCCTATAACTCATGTATAGTTGTTAAGCAGTAACATAACTAGTTGTTAACTTAGACAAATGTGAGCATAATGAAAATAATAGTTTGATATTTCAGGAAGCTATGCAACAGATAACCCAGCTCCTACCAGAGGATCTCAGAAAGGAGCTCTATGAACTTTGGGAAGTAAGTATACAATAGGTAACTTTTTATTTATTGCAACTGAATTTATATGGATCATCATGTTTTAGTTTGCTTAGATTGCCTTAACAAGCTATCTCAAATGGTAGTCTGTTTTTCACCTCCAAGTGGCTGCAGGAATCTCTTGGGGCTCACAGTCCGAAGTCCCCATTTCTCTCACCACCACAGTGCTTGGGATGAATTTTGACTAATAGATCCTGGATTTCTTGCTGATTTGCTTATATCCACCTATCCATTTCTGGTCTCTGAAAAGAGCATGGCTTTTGGGGGAAGTTCAGAAATGGGATTGAATTCACCTTACCACCTAGTTGTATGTCCTTGGGAACGTTCCTCTTATTGAGTGTGTGG